GTTCAAGCTTGCATGCTTCCTTGTTCTAGCTTCTAGCTTGTCCTTAGCTTATTCAATGCATATTTTCTAAACTCTCAACATGTTCATCTTTTTAATGAAATGTTTTCCTTTGTTCTTTGTCTTTGTATCATGTCGATGAGGATACCTAAGGGCATGTATAGGTTAGATTTCCTAGTTTTATGATCAAGCCATAAGTCATTTTCCACTTTTTGTTTTGGTTATAAAACTGTGTTCTGCTTCTTTTTGTTTTAAAACCTAAGCGTTTTCATTGCTTTGGAAGTCCTTGTCCTTTTTGTGCCAAAATTTTGCATCTCTCAAAATTTCTTTCCCTTAGTGAGGACACTGTTTTCCTTAAGTTTGGGGGGGACAGTGTGTGTCTTTTTGTTTTAGAAAGAAAATACTTTTTATATTTTGAAAAAGAGCCGAAAAGAAAATGCAAGCAAAAAAAAGTCTTATGTAAAAATGTCATATGCAAGGAAAATGTTTTGAAAAAAGAGTATGAAAAAGAGTTCAAAAGAAGAAAAGCAAGTAAAAAAAGAGTCTTGAGAGAAAATAAGAATGGGGGAAAGAAAAGAGAAATATAATCGAGAGAAAGACAAAAGTGGTAAAAAACACGAGAGGCAAGAAAACCATTTACTTTTTCGCTAGTCCCCACTATAGACATTCATTTTCTTTAAATGGGTGGCGTTAGCATCTTGGAGGGTAGTAGCCTACATATTAAGGTGACTTCGTGAAAACCATTGTCGACATCATTTTATACCGGGTTGCTACCTAAAAAGTTTCTATGAGTGGCTGTGGTTTGAAATTGATGTTGGTGTGTTGAAAACATCAGGGGCTAGTAGCCGGCCCACGTGTCTTTTTTATGTAAAACATTTTTGAATCAAAATGTAAGTGTGCATATTCTTTGATTTTGTAAAAAGTTTTGTGTTTTATAAAAGAACGGGTTTTAGAATCATTTTTATTTCAAAACAAATGATGGTTTATGGTTTGTTGGCTTGAGACTAAAGTTAGGACGTTTAGGTTGTGGAGCCTTTCCTGAGACGTATATGATTCATTTACTTAGAATATTTGGATTGTTTCTCATTCGTCTTTCTAGCATGTTGATTGTTTAAGATTGGTTGTTGTTGTTTTTGCTTGAGGACAAGCAAACGACTAAGTTTGGGGTGTTTTAGGGTTGACTTTTTACTGCAGAAACATGTGTCGGTAGCCCTGGTTGACCACGATTTTACCCATTTCCCATCATTATTTGCCAAAAACGATTACATATTCTTAAAGTAGAACATGCAAAAGTCAAACTATGGTACTTTAGGAAAATTATGAGAAAAACGCAGTCAAAGTTGGAAGAAAATAACAGTTTCTGTTTTGCAGGAATTGCGCCTGGCACAATTTTGAAGATTTCCCATGTCTTTGAATCAAAGTATAACCGTGAGTCTAAGTCAAATTGAAGTTGTTAGGTGTATCTCAACTCATTCCCACCTAAAAAGGTGGGAAGTTTAATAACTGCAAGGGCCTATATAAGAGAGTCATCCCTCCAGCAGCAAATCATCCATTCCAAGCTCGTTTTCAGCTTCATTTACTTTCTCCTTCGTTGTAGAACTCGTTCTTAGGTTTTACATTCAAGTTTTAGTTGTTATTTCTTTGTATTTTCATACTTTTGCTTCCCGTATTGCTTTTAATTCAAGTTCTACCTTTAGCGAGTTTACACTCCCTTCACGCTCGAGAGAGAAGAGGATCAAGTTATAACTCATTGTACGACTCATTTATTCATTTTAATTCAATGAAAAATACTTCATTTATGTTTTTGTGCATTTTCTTTCCTTTAGAAATGTTCTAAATTAGTTATCAACCTCTTTGTGGAATGCCTTAATCAAAATGATTTGATTTACAACATGCTCGGGATTTGCCCAAAATTACGCTTGGCACTTTTTTGGGCTGGTTTCTAAAAACTTCTCTTTACGTCTTTTTTCCATTTGGCCAGTGGGAACTTCATTTATACACTAAAGCCCAACCCTAAGAAGGGTAAGTTAGGTAAAATAATATGAAACCAATATGGGATGTGACTTAGACATAAACATTTAAAATATGGTCCTAGACATAGCTCCTCTGACCCATAATGCATGTGAGTTGATAATTATTCTCTAGGATTGTAATCACACATATACATATGATTGTAGGTTACCCTAGCCTCTACAGCAACCAAAAGCGGTAGTGAAAGAGTATAACTCAGTTTTCCAATAAAAGCTAAGATTGCGCCTGGTGCATTTTCCCAATAAAGTGTGTTTTCCATGTTTTGCATCAAGACTAAGGTATAAAGCAAGGAGGTTGAGTTTTATTAAATTGCTTGATAGTTAAAACCCCAAACAACAAATTTTTTTCCTAAATCACAATTGCATATTTGAACCATTTCACGACATTACTTGATTTTGAAAAGCAACAAGTCCCTGATGATTCGACCTTGGATTACTTCCAAGTATTACTTATGACCGTGTACACTTGTACGAGTCTCTGATCTTTTTGAAGGTAGAGAAAGTCCCAACACTCAGCCTCTACTTGCTGTCTACGCTGTGCTCTTCTTCTTTGATGGAAGGTGTGTTCTATCTCGTTATCAAGCAGATATTCCAATCCTTGTAAATCGTGCATTCACCTTCAAGATTCACCAAACAGGAGCTAAAAGAACACTTTCTAGCACAAGTTTTCTTAAGTAAAAATATAAAGTGTAATGTAAAATCAAGCCCCAGCAACAACGCCAAAAATTATTGAACGATTTATAACTCTTTGTGCAATTGTACACAACCGCTTTAGTAGGTGATAAAAAGATCGTATCCTCAAGGATTGATAACTAAACACTTCAACAATTACTTAAGAAAAACAAGCAAATTAAAAAAAAAAGTTTTGAATAAGAAAAACTAAAGGAACTCAACCAAAATTGTGCATACATGATTTGCTGAGTGAAAACAAGGCAGAACGAAGGAAAACCAAATCGAGTAAAAAAAGTATACAAATAAGGGGTTAACTACTGATATTTGAAAGCATAAGGGCGAAGAGTTTATGTTACTTCTTCTGGGTTAACGTGAACAATGCTACTGCATTATGGATGTTGATATAATGGCCAATTAGACATGGAGTCTTCCCAGACTTTCTCGATTTTCCGCTATTCAAGTTTTAAAGCAAAAATGAAAGCATATTAGTTTAGTTTATAGCCTTACTAAATGAGCCTTATTTCTAAGTACCCATGCTCTAAACTCAAGTAGATCTAACATGAGATGAAGCCAAACACTCCCTATTACAATTTTCCAAGAGTTAATAAAGAGATATCTCAATATGTTGATCAAACACATTGAAACTCAAACAATAAAAACAACTTCAACTCAGTATATCTCATCATTAAAAACATAAGCAAAGTTTACAGCCGAATAATAGGTTCACGACATTCTCCCCCTTATAATGAAGACTTAGCTACGCACAACCATAAGAAAACGAAAGAAAGAAACAGTAAGGGTTCAATACTGAATAAGAACTAAAGGAAAAAAATAGGGAGCAAAGGAATATCAGTTCCAAAATGTGGTCTTTGCCTTCCAAAGCTTATGCACGTCTCCTTCCTCATTGTCTTCTTCGAAGTGGTTGAGAGTTTTTCTTGAAGTGAGAGTGAAGTGATACTTGGGAAGTGTGTAGAGGCTACCTTAAATGTTAGTATATATACCTTCAATTTTAGGGCAACAAAACAGATAAAGTGGGCTCCAGCTCTACTTTCAGGTGCATTCTCCGAGTTATTGTGGAAACTCCTTGGGTTAAACTCTGTCACTGTCAGCTTTTGTCTTTTTTTGCTCCCTTCTGATTCCGATTATGTAGCATTGACAATGCTACATCAAAACATTCAAAATTAGACCATTCATCCTAACTCTCATAGTTACTAAGGCAAGGGTGTTAGTGAATTCAAAGCATTAATTGCACACAATCAGTGTATAGAGAGTATTTGTGTGGCTATTCTTATCTAGTTTATATGAAATTCTTGCACAAATAACTCTCTTTTGGAAACTTATCAAAGCGTTACATGATATCCTACCACACAGTCGAGTGAAATCTGAACTTCTACGTATAAAGCCCAAAAGACATTGTATATTATTTGAATGATGTTCTAGAAGATTCGTGCTTGTGTTAACGATTGTTGCCTAATTAGGAAAGACCTTTCTAATGCAAATGAAGTAATTGAGACAAGAACATCTTTGTGTGGTGAGTTGAAGGTGAGGGTGGCTAAGGGTTTTGCGACCATGCGTGAATTAGCATGCAATATAGATGGAGGGGAGCGAAAAGTAATTTCAAATAATGAGGATGGTTAACCTACTAGAGAGAATGGTACGAAGAATGTACAATTATATAGAGGTATGTATGATGAACCAAATTCCTATTAAGTATTGCTCACTGGAAACAAGTCTCACGTGACTTAAAAGGACATAACTTTTTTAGTGTGTCGAGCTATATTTTAGATTATGATTTAACTATTTCGCATTTTTATATTATTATTTTGACCATTATTTCTTTTTCTATTTGAATATACATGTCATTTGTGGTTGACCCTCAAGCAAAACATATTATTTTACAATCGACTTGGAGAAAATATAGCACTTCTAAGAAGATGACTGGAAAATTTATCTTTCCATATAATGATCAACTACATTAAATTGATTGTCAGAAGAATTCCAGTCCCAATTTGAATATAAGTATAAGTGTATCAACTAATGTTTCAAACCAAAGACAAAGTGATGAGAGCTTTGTACCATTGTAAATATGTGTGGGTTTGTTAACCTTATGCCTTTTAGAATTGTTAGGGGAAAAACGAGAGCTTTTGCCAATTTAGAAGCTTGAGCGTAAGAGAAGAGTAAGGCGAAGAAGAAGACACAAGGGTTTAAGTGGTTCAGCCTAATGTTGACCTACGTCCACTGTAAGGCTAATCTTTCACTTCTTTTATAGAGAGAATTACAAAGGGAATTTCTTCATCATCATCCAGAAGTACATAATGAGCTATTTAAAGAGCTTTAGCCTAATAACTAACTCTTTACCGAAGTACTCTCTTTTACCCATAGTTTCTGTTGTATTCAACCACGGTAAATATTACAAGAATAATACAATAATTACAAGTAAGAAGATGATAATAAAGATAATAAAACCAGCCAATAAATGTTTATACACAAAGCTTACAAAAACTAAGAGATTATTTAGAGACCAACATATATAAACATAAAATCCCGAGGTTTTATATGGTCATGTAGTATTAAGTTTCAATGGATAGGATAGTGCTGTCATCTTGGAAGCTCATCATCACTAGACCCTAAGAGAGCAATGAATAAGTTGTAATTGATTGACTTTCTTCAATAATTGCTAAACAATTTTGAGGCTTCCTCGATCTTTCTAGTTCCAAATATACATGTTTCATGGTAGGCCTCTCTTTCCCATTGGATCTTAAACATTTAGTTGTAAGTTTTGCGACAGCATTAACAACCTCCATCTTTTCTTCCTTGGCTACTGCAATATCTAGAATTTCAACAAGTTGATTTGCCTTTTCCAATGAAATGAAGTATTCTAATAGATTCCTGCCTTCATGTTTTGCAAATGTGACGGGTGACTTTCCAGTTAAAAGCTCTACCATTAAGACTCCAAAGTTATAAACGTCACTTTTTTCAGTGTAATGACTTGATCTGAAGTACTCAGGATCAATGTATCCAAAAGTTCCTTGCACTTTCGTAGTAAGGTGAGACTGATCACTTGACACAAATCTTGATGTTCCAAAATCAGAAACTTTTGTATGATAATTGTCATCCAAAAGTATATTTAAAGACTTGATATCTTTGTGAAAAATTTGAGTTGAAGCCGTAGAATGCATGTAAGATATAGCTCCTGCAACTTCAGATGCAATTCTTAGACGAGTTTCCCAAGAAAGAGAAGGTGATTCTCCATGATCTTTCTGGTTAATGTGGTGAGAAAGCGTCCCATTCGAAACAAATTCATAAACCAGCAACGGATGCTCAGTTTCTAAACAACAACCCAGAAGCCTAACAATGTTTCTGTGGTTAATTTGAGAAAGTATAATGACTTCATTAATGAATTGGTCGATCCAGTTTGCTTCAATTTGGTTTGACCTTTTGATTGCAACAATAGTGTTGTCATTGAGCATTCCTTTGTAAACTGTGCCATACCCTCCTTGACCAAGAAATCTACTTTCGTTGTAGTTATCCGTTGCTTGTTCAAGTTCTTCGTGTGTAAATATTTTTACTCTCTCGCTATTTTCAAGTAGTTTTTGTTGCAATAAGAGGCCACCATTTTGCCTGAAAAACTTTTTCGTATGAAGCTTACGTCTTCTTTTCCGGAGCAGTAGTTGATGTCCTTTGCATCCGCAAAAGAAACAACTTACTAATACTATCACACCTCCTTCAGTAAAAAATATATATATATATATTAATAATAACAAGTTTGTTATATGGAATGAGATTGTTGAGTTTCAAATAGATAAACTCATACGTACGCATGTCCTTTGAAATTCATTTCGGAAGGGTAGAAAATGTAGAAACAATATTTTAGAACTTTTTTTTTTTACAAGTTGAAGGTAGAGTATTGTCAATTGAATCCCACCCTAGCAACATAATTAGGGATCCTAATAAAGGCTTATAATAGATACGAATTATTCCTAATCAATTGATTTTAAGATGGAACCATGAATATTAATAAATACCAAGAAAATTAAATAAATTTTAATGACTTGCATCACTATATCCAAAGAATATATATATTTAATGTACTCTATTTGATCTTGACTAATCAACAATAAATAAATAAATAAAACTAAAAAAAGTGTAATCTTTTACCCTTTATTTAACTAAGTTAAATTTAACCATAAAATTTTAATTTCATCCAATTGAATCCTAAAATCTAAATAACTGAGAAGGTTAATAATTTCAATTCATCAAGTTTCTGGTGATGGTTATGTGAGATAATTTTTGAGGTTTTTTTGTTCCAACTATATTTAATATGTTTCAGTTGAGAAGTTTGGTAGTATTCTTTCCACAAGGTTGATTTTTTCATAGAAAATAATAATGACAATAATTTATAGACGCAATCAAATTTGGAGAAGAGAGACGTACCAATTGCAATCAAGACGATGTACAAAATATAGTCATTGTCATTGCTTGTAGGAGGAGGAATGGCATTGCAGTCGTAGTATGAAGAAGGGTCTATCCTGCAAGTCACATTTTTGTTCAATGGAATCAAAATAGGCGTAAATGGGAAGGTTTGGCTCGACATCGAAAGCATATTCGCTTCCAAAATGCCTTCTTCCTCAACCCCAAAATCCCTCGCAACGGATCCAATGCTCTCGTTTGGCTGCAGCATATACACAGCCAAGAACTCAACTCCCTTAGCCTTTTGAGCTTTCGTAGGACAAGCACATCCCAAGGGAACTTGGAGCCTTCGGCCCACCGAAGAAGTATTATCAATAGCATAATCGAGGCTCACACTTCTAAGCACCGAGCAGCTCGTGAAGCCTTGAAAAATATCATTCACTATCTTTTCATAACTATCGCCTTTTTTAATAGTGTAATACGCGATATAGTGATAGTACAGACCCCAACATCCACAGTCAGCGGTAGTTCTAAACAAAGTATTTTTCCCCAATGTAAAATTTAAGAGATACAAGTCATAAGATAATAGAGAGTCGGATCTGAAGATCAAATAGGATTGACACGAGAAAATGGAATCAGTGCAAATGTAACCTTTGGAAGTTGAAGTATCATTCATAGAACAATTGGTTTGATTTCCAATGTAAGGCTGTTGGCAGAGGGATTGGAGAGGAAAGAAGAAAAGGGAGAAGAGGAGAGAAACCATTTTGTTGGAATTTTTGTTTAGGTTGGCTGCTTCCCCTATCTTCTTTATATTGGAAAGAAAATTTTAGTTTTATGGCTTTTTAAATCAATAAATATGTGGCATCAATGAGTTTGGTTTCAAAATCCTGACTTTTAGGCCATGTTGAAGAATAGTCTTGTTCAAAGGTTTTTATTTGTTTAAATTAATTGACTAAACAATATTTAAATTTGATTCGCATTGATTACATATTAATTCATTTATTAATTTAATCGCCTAAGCAATCAATAATTGCGATAATTATAGTTAATTATCTATTTCCTCACCAATAACTTTCACACTATAATTATCTATTTCCTCACCAATAAGTTTCACATTAAATAAAAACATATTGGTTAATAGTATTTAAGTCAATCAATAATTTATATGTATTTTTAATTTATTATATATACATATACATATATATATATATAATATCAATCAATCAAGACACCCACTATCTATAAGGACAACATGTGGATGTGAAAACATTCAAACTCGTGATCTTTTGATGGAAAATAGATAGCTTAACCAGTTTAGCTATACTCATATTTTACAAATATGTTTTAATTTCTTTAAAAAATATTTCTAAATAACTACTTTTATAAAAATTAATTACAAAATAGTATTTTTTCTAAAATAAAATATGGCATTTATGAAAATAAAACACAAAAGAAAAAATGGGATAATTTTTTTGTTTGACGAATAAAAAATGGGATAATTTAAAATACTAAAATGATTTTAATCATTCTTCCAATTTGATTGTTAACTTACGTTGACCGTTTTTTCAAGTTGACCAGATATTATGTTTTCTTAAATAAAAAAAAAAAAGAAAAGAAAAGAAAGAAAATTGCGTACGTGAGTAAGACTATGTCTATACATAATATGTCTCAATTTGTTTATAGGAATGTAAAATGAGAGGAAAAATAATTGTAAAGGTCTTTAAAATACTAAAATATCATTTCCATGTTTTATAAAATATGGGAATGAAAGTTATAGTCATTTAAATAATTAATCATAACAACGTTTTATCCATTAGTCAAAGTCATTTTCTTATATGAAGTAGGGATTCCTATGACAAGTAGAGCAATTCAAAATTGAAAATTATGATACATACTTCATAGCATGATTTAAGATCCAAATATAAATGAATAAACTCAATTGATTTGACCCTTCCTTTCTTATTTTTTTTCTTGTATTATTTCCGTGAATACTTTGTCTCTCGTAAGGAAGATCTAGTTTAAAGAAAAGTAGCAACTATGTATCTATCTTAGGATCTATTTAAATGATTACGTTTTTAGTTTTATGTTTTTAAAAATTATGCCTCTCTTTTCTCCTAATTTTATTTTTTATGTAACACCGGTCTTATAATACATTCAAATTTTTAGTCAATTTAAAAAAAAAAATTATGAATTCGGCTTAGTTTTTAAGAACACGTCAAAAAGTAGAGAGAACAAGGTAATAAAACATAGAAGTAGTGTTCTAAGTTAAAATTTTTAAAAAGAAAAAACAAAATAGTTATGAAGCAGCGCCTTAATCATTCATATTTAGACCCGCTTCTGAAACCAATACATCAAATTTAAAGGAGAAATTTGAACTTATTAAAATACTGTGAAATGATTAGTCATTAATTTCAATATCTTTTTTTTTTTATCAATTTTTTCAAAAATATTTATCTACATAACATTTCATCCATACATATTTCTCTAAAATTTGTTTCCGAAACCTGAGTACTAAAACTATGTATTATCTTCCTTATGTGGAGCATAAGGTGAACATGACATGCGACTTGAGTACATTCGTACTCATTTTCAAGTTTTAGACAGCTAATTCAAGCACACTTTCGGCGAAAAGAATGTAAATTGTTATTCGAATGTACTACTGAAAGTAAACTAAATATTTAGAGTTGTTTATCGATCAACACCCATCTTATCTTATCCGTGGTTTGAGTCTCCTTTATTATAAGTCGTTTTGATTATGGTTTGAGTTTTTTCATCAAATGGCGCAGCGGTATCATGGTGGAAGTCTTCTCAATTGAGTTGTTTAAGTGGTTGAGTTTAGTAATTGTCCCCTTTTTGGGATATGAAAAATCATGTGACATTTGAGGTGTTGAGGTCAAGGATGAAGCCTCAAACTTGGCAATAGGCTTGAATGAGAATGTCAAGTCAATAGGAGAAATTTCTTTATTTAAGAATCGTTGGTTGTAATCAAAGAAGACATCACACATTACCACTTAGTTTGAGTGGGAGTACTGTTGGGAAACTAATGGTCTTGAATAATTTCTCCTTCCACATAAATAATAAACACAACCACAATATGCAAATAGGAAAAAAAAATTGTAAATACGAGAATAAACAACATAACAAATTATATTGGTTTACCACTAAGGGCTACGTCCAGTCTTCCACAGTAATTCACTAATTATTGTCAAGAATTAGATACAATAAACTCTCTCCAAAAATATTCCCTAGAGGTCCAAACAACACACACACACACGCACACACACGCACACCCACACACACACACACTGTCAATGAACTGATCCACACTGCTCGGCCCTCTCCAAGTTGTTTGATTCTACCCCAAGATTGGGCAGCGGTACGTGGTCTTGTCGCCTAGACTTACAGACATAGCCACATACTCCCACTTGAT